GTTCTATGTGCCTCCAGCAAAACCAGACTGGTTTGAACTAAGAGTATTCCACCTATTCCGTGCAATTTGGGTTCAAGTAGATGATGTTGGCGAAAACTCGAGAGTGCACCCGCACAGTGAGCTCCAAGAAGTGCTGTCGATGAATCTTCAGCAAACGTATGAGCAATGCATTACGTCTACATATGTATCGCGATATATTAAATGTAGTACCGGCTTAAACGTGACTCGAAATGGTGTTGCACATTCAATTGATGAAAACAGCATAAACGAGAGATTCATTTGGGCTCTAGATGTCTCCCGTAACACCAATTTTTTTGCATGTGGGTAAATTTTCCTAAAATTAGAAAACATTTGTACCGGGAAGGTTTGGGCCTGTGCTTGAGGGCTCACAGAGGTGTGCGTGCTAGCACTGTACATACACACATGCGTACTCACTTAGTGTTTTATAGCCCGATTTGGACTAACGTTAAACAGTGGATATGAAAGTTGATGCTTAGGGTACATAGGACAGAATAAACTGTTTTCTCGAAGAGCCACCGAAGAGCTTTTGAATCTATTATAAAACCTAATAAACTGAATTGCTGTGAGTCTCCTATCAGCGATGATTTGCTATGTGAGTTCATATTAAGCAATGTAATGGAATGAAAATACGAAGTACTTTTGTCAGTTAACCTGCATTGCTGTGTAAACAGAATGTTTAATTGGCTGCAAAGTCAGTCAACAAATGTCTCAGACGAATATGTTTCGTTCTACCAGGTTCCAAAGAAAATTTGTTTGAATGTGGATTTTTAATTAGTAACAAAAATTTGTTGCGGATTAGGAAAATACTTTTTTGTTTTGTTTTTTGTACACGATGGAGAAACGCTATTCAGTATTAGCAACACTGTTTGGGTAGATATGGTTGCAACAAATGCAATTGAAGTCTATTCCCTGTGCACAAAATGAATCACAGATTACATATTTTCAGGCTGGTAGCTTTCCTGACATGTATTGTTGCATTTAAGCTGGTGGTATTTCTGAGAGAAAACATGCAGTTTGTTAAAGTTCCCACGGCAGCTGTATCCAGATGGAACGGCTTTTTTTCAAATATTGGTCCAGCGACCCGTTACTAATTCGTTAAAATTGAGTTAGTTCAGTTAATTTTCGTTTTAGCTTCAGTTTTTAGTTAGTTTCACACTAAATGGCCGTCTCCATCTCCCTCTATTGGACCTTTGAGCACGACCACCAAGTTAATTTGTATGGATTGTGCTCTTGGAAGCTGCTCCAATTTCTCTTAGAAAGAACAAAACCCTACGGGTGGATTTTCTCTAAAATATATGTGATTGTTTCGAAAACGGTAGATAAAAATTGGGAGAGTAAGATCGTTTCCGTCATAATTCGGTTATTTAAACTACTGTCAAATACTGTCACCAACTGCAAAGTACTTATGCCCGTAGATCTAGTTTTCTGGCTCTATATCTTTCTAAAGGCATTCAAATCCTGTTTTACTGGGAGCAAGTTTCTCCAATAAAGATGGCGAAGAGTAACAGACTTTCCGTAGCCGTCGTCTGGAGGTTGGCCCATAGTTTGTGGATACAGATGTTTACTGTGAGCCGATAATTATAACGCCAACCATCAAACCCCATTCTGAATTAAGAGGAAGCCTTAAAATCTTAGTTGAAGTTTCCATATGACGCTGGCAATTTTTTCACAGTACAGGAAAACCGGATCTAGTTCATGTGCACGGCTAACATGCGGCTAGCTGCTTCACGCACAAACCCTACATAGTTATTATTCATATATTTATTTAGCAACTCCTCGACTGGAAACCGTCAAACCCATCCGAAATCAAGTCCACAATCTACTTAGTTATCGCGGTTGGAACGTCAAATTAAAACATCTTCCAATAGAAGTAAGACAAATTCCAGTGGTTTTTGGTTTGAGCATGCATTCAGAAAAATATAACCTTTTTAAACAACTGAGTTTCTTCGACATACAAAGGTTTTGGAGAAAAGTTCATATTCGGGATGAGGTTAGGCTAATTTGCTTAGGTGCACCCCAACATCTGGTGTTAATTCAGTCAAAATAGGATCATGTGTTTTAGTAGAGCCCCTGCAAGGAATCGCTACTAACTGATGTTTATAACGTTCTCGAGATTTGGTAGCCAGATTATCTGTACTAGTGCTTGTTGTTAGAGGAACAATGTAGTGATTATGCTAGACTAGAACAAAATCCGTTTTGCACCGGGTTTATTTCGTTTTTTGCAACGCTTGGGACAAATATGGTACATCTTGAAGTCAGTTTACCAGTAGACTAAAAATTTGAGATTGCCATTTTTTCGCAAAACACTTGCATGTAAGCCATAAAGTGAAAAAGCTCCTTGTTCATGAATACGTAAAAACATTGTTCCTCAATATGGAGAAATATTTTAGATTAGTATCTGAGTTCTGCTGAAGTTTTTGTTCTCTTAAATTAGAAACTGGCACTTTACAAAGCCTCTTCATTGGTACTCGGACTTTTACTCTCTGAATGCGCGATCTTTGAACGACTGCTGTATTTTGACCTCAACTTGCCTTCCTTGAGGAACCCAGTAGCGAAATCACATCGGTATTCCAGTGCGTTACTTATGCTTTAGTTCCAGATGCACAGTAATACCCTGCTCAGAATTTTCCATCGCACAGTCAAAGTGGTCATATTCCAATCACAGTAAAATGCGTTTGCACGACGGTTTCAAAGTTTATCATGGTTTATTGACTTTATGAGCTGCCAATCCTAAGACGAAAGAGATTTCCTCTTCAAGGTTGACCATAATATATCCCTACTGGATTCTCCCGCCAAATCATCATGTACTTCTTGAAATGACCAGACAAAATTACTGAAAGGTCTAGTAACGAATTTTTAGGTGTTTTCAAATGGTACATGTAAAAGTGAAAAGCGGTTTAACTGACCATAATGACACGCCTGATAAGCCAAGCTGCTGATGACAACAAATGTAGTCTAGTTACGCTTGCCTGCGTCAGTTCCTGTTCACAGTAGCTCTCACAGTAAATTCTCCGGAGAATTGTACAAACTTTAAAAACGACGTTGATGTTTCGTTGGCCAATCAAGAAAAATGCAGTCGGTCTGCCGACACTGAACCTTTTTTGCCCACCATATCTGAATTTAGCTGACAGCTGGGATTATACAGTGAACATGAGCGAATTCTTGTCCAGGATGGGAACACGAGCCATCTTCTTTGGACTACGGCTTCTCATGAACGTTTCACGATCACCTCATTTCTCCCTGGATTTGTGTACCTTTGAAAACTACTCTATTCTAAGGTAAATGTGGGGTTCGGTGCATGAGGGCTTGTTTACTTTTTGTGTCATTATACGACTGTACTCAAATATATTGTGAACCACCGCATGTTTGCCCAACTATGTTCCCTTATGCACACTCCGCCATTTGCTATGGTCAGGACATTGCAGCTCCCGGCATCCGATGCACTTTTTCTGACATATTATAGAGTCGTGTAACCTGTTGTGTTATAATGATCTTCACTGATCCAACGGCTGTCTGTGAAGTTGCAACGCAACTTCGGGGTAGGTAGTATGCAGTGTCAGTGAGAATAGTATTTTTAATCCAAATCTGGAATCAATCTATATTTTGATATTCTCATATTCCCTGTGATGGATTAATACATCTAATTGCAGTTTACTTCACAGCCATTGGTGTCTGTTGTAGCATGCGTCAGCCTTACGAACGTTCAGTACTGCTACAGTTACAACTGGAGGTCACATGACAGACATGGTGAATAAGATTAGCTTTCAAACCCAAAAACGGTAAATCTGCTCTATGTATCCCCCTGTACCCCCCTGCGTTTCAGCATGAAGGTGTATTAGTGTCCTAGACAAGCTGGGGCTCAGTCTTCAATGTTAGCGTGAGTGGGTCGTTTGTTTGAGGCTCAAAATCGGAGTGTCGCTTAGGAAGAGCTTCTGCACATACAGCTTTGACTTACCAATCAGCTGTTGATTTCATTTAGACTGAAAAACTTGGTGATCCAGTTCGGGGATATGATTTATGGTGTCTTCGGAATAAAAAGAAGACAATGAGAAACATTGGAATGTGGCATTTGGCTAACATTGGCCATGCACTAAATCCCGTATAATTTACAAAACAATCAAAAAACCTAATTTAACAAAAAGATATTATTGTAGCTAATGAAACAATGAGATCAGCCTGCGCGTCTATGAAGGCGTTTTCTGTGTTTACTAGATCAGACATGGGGTGGTCTGTCTTTCAAAACACCTGTGTTTATCACCAGGACAAAACGTACATATTTTATGGATGACTGGATTCAGGATGTCTGCTGATCTATAAATAGCCGCATCAAATTTTTGTACCCAACTAGAAAATATGGAGGAAAATTTTCCGGAAAACCATTTTTCTAACTCACCCATAAGGGAATTATCGCAATTTATCGTTTTTTCTGGAAATTCGTTATAATCAACTTGAACTAACATTTTTTTCAAAAACATTCTAGTTCATGTTATTACCATCAGTTCATCCGAATACTTCTTGAAAATTATGCATGCAAGAGATCAATTATGTTGAAAAATTGCCTGAGTGACAGTTTGAACTAAGAGCTTTTATGTTGATCTTCAAACTTTAACGAAAAATCACCTTCTTACGTTTGCACCCTTGTCTCATTTGAGCGTTCGTTCGCTGTGAAAAAGAAATCCATGCTGTAATCCCCAAATTCATCTTACATATGTGAGACGCTGGTACAGTACTTTTCTGAGAATAAATAGTTCTGTCAGTTCTAGGACCACACAAGTGTTATTGATGCTTCCCGTACTGAATGCAGCTTGTTGCGACAGAAATTTGGCTAATTCTTGGTTTTTGGAACCGAACTGGTTTACCTTGACGGCATTACTACAGGGATTGGTTGGGCGAAGCTGCCGAACGGAGTTCTGCTGTAACGAATACATTGGACAAGCTAGCACAGGGAGAAACGATCGCTTTTTATTTTCACCACTTACCCCGTCCTAATGGGTGAAGTTTTCAGTATGTTTTTGTGCAATTCTTCAGAATGATCCAATAACAGTACCTTCTGTCCTTGATTTAAACCCTTTTGCATTTTCGATCGATTCTCTGGTGATATCTTTAACTTGAGTTTAATTTCAAAGACACCGGTTGTGCAAGCCGCCTCAGGAATCTCCTGCTCAAGTCGACTTACAGAGCTAAGGATGGCATTTACAGTGATTTGCTGATGAAACATTGTTGTCTGTGGCGTAAAAATGTGTTGTGCTTCTTTCTGGAAATATCGCTTCATATATCAATTCTGGGACTGAATTCTGCAGGAGTTGATTGAATGTATGAGTGCATTTGTTGACCTTTTGAGCTCACTACAAATTGTCCTACAGAGCCCCAGTTACAGAGTTTTATTCGTTATTTTCTTCAGCGAAATTAATTCTGTCAGTAAGCATAAAAGTTTGAACTTAGGAGTATGCATCTGAATCAAACCTAGTAACTCTACTTTCGCTGGTTGACGGTCGTTGGCTTGTTCGCTGAGCTGGGCAATTTGGTTGCAAACGTTTTATCACCAATCGAGGTGACATCATCAGTGCGTAGTTGTGCGTAGCGGTGGGTTAATGGTTGTGCTTTCAGTAGTGTTACGTGTGTGTTGATATACATGCTAATAGCCGGGGATGACCTTTGACCACGATTAGTTATTCTGTCGGGTGATTCCATTGGTTGTTCTTTTATCCCGTGTCCTCATTCGCCGACGCCCACGTGACTATTGAAATTGGCATCCCTCGCCGTAGTAGTCTAGTCGATGTTGGAGTGACCTTTGTCCTTCCGAGTCCCGGTTGTGACCTTTATTGATTTGACTCCGAGGAATTCCTTGTTTCTTCGTTTGTGAATCCAATATTCGGTCCTCCTTGAGTGTTTCGGTTGCGATGTTGATCGCTCGCACGTAGAGGTGCGTAAATTGGATCCAGTTCGATGCACCGGTTTATTGAACCTGTCGTAGAGTACCATGCTTCCAGAAATTCTCTTCTGTGTCGCGTGTCTCCGTATGCCAAAATTTTTGCGTTTTCCAGGTTGAAGTTGTGGCTTTCCTGGTCCTCGTCTATGGATGTCAAGGACAGGGGGTCATGCCTCCTGACAGCCGTGTTGTGTTCCTTTATACGTGTACATACTTTCCTCCCTGTTTGTCCAACGTAGGATTTGTTGCAGTCATTGCCGTAGATTTGTTATATCACATTGTTCCTCTTGATTTTGTCCCGGTTGTCCTTCGGTCTAGAGATTAATTTCCTTAGAGTAACGCTCGGATTGTGGGCCACGAGGATTCCTTTTTGAGCCGCCACGAGGATTTTTGAGCCAATAATCCGGTTGCGAGTTCTGATATATTCTTGACGTAAGGTAGGACTACCCGTCTGGTGGTTTGTTCTTTCTTGCTCTGTTGTTGAGATGTCTTCTTCTTCAAGCTTCTCTTGATAAAACTCCTTGGTTAAACCCTTTTGCATTTTCGATCGATTCTCTGGTGATATCTTTAACTTGAGTTTAATTTCAAAGACACCGGTTGTGCAAGCCGCCTCAGGAATCTCCTGCTCAAGTCGACTTACAGAGCTAAGGATGGCATTTACAGTGATTTGCTGATGAAACATTGTTGTCTGTGGCGTAAAAATGTGTTGTGCTTCTTTCTGGAAATATCGCTTCATATATCAATTCTGGGACTGAATTCTGCAGGAGTTGATTGAATGTATGAGTGCATTTGTTGACCTTTTGAGCTCACTACAAATTGTCCTACAGAGCCCCAGTTACAGAGTTTTATTCGTTATTTTCTTCAGCGAAATTAATTCTGTCAGTAAGCATAAAAGTTTGAACTTAGGAGTATGCATCTGAATCAAACCTAGTAACTCTACTTTCGCTGGTTGACGGTCGTTGGCTTGTTCGCTGAGCTGGGCAATTTGGTTGCAAACGTTTTATCACCAATCGAGGTGACATCATCAGTGCGTAGTTGTGCGTAGCGGTGGGTTAATGGTTGTGCTTTCAGTAGTGTTACGTGTGTGTTGATATACATGCTAATAGCCGGGGATGACCTTTGAGCACGATTAGTTATTCTGTCGGGTGATTCCATTGGTTGTTCTTTTATCCCGTGTCCTCATTCGCCGACGCCCACGTGACTATTGAAATTGGCATCCCTCGCCGTAGTAGTCTAGTCGATGTTGGAGTGACCTTTGTCCTTCCGAGTCCCGGTTGTGACCTTTATTGATTTGACTCCGAGGAATTCCTTGTTTCTTCGTTTGTGAATCCAATATTCGGTCCTCCTTGAGTGTTTTGGTTGCGATGTTGATCGCTCGCACGTAGAGGTGCGTAAATTGGATCCAGTTCGATGCACCGGTTTATTGAACCTGTCGTAGAGTACCATGCTTCCAGAAATTCTCTTCTGTGTCGCGTGTCTCCGTATGCCAAAATTTTTGCGTTTTCCAGGTTGAAGTTGTGGCTTTCCTGGTCCTCGTCTATGGATGTCAAGGACAGGGGGTCATGCCTCCTGACAGCCGTGTTGTGTTCCTTTATACGTGTACATACTTTCCTCCCTGTTTGTCCAACGTAGGATTTGTTGCAGTCATTGCCGTAGATTTGTTATATCACATTGTTCCTCTTGATTTTGTCCCGGTTGTCCTTCGGTCTAGAGATTAATTTCCTTAGAGTAACGCTCGGATTGTGGGCCACGAGGATTCCTTTTTGAGCCAATAATCCGGTTGCGAGTTCTGATATATTCTTGATGTAAGGTAGGACTACCCGTCTGGTGGTTTGTTCTTGCTGTTGCTGTTGTTGAGATATCTTCTTCTTCAAGGTTCTCTTGATAAAAACTCCTTGGATATCCATTGTTCTGGAATACTCTGAATAGATGGTTTTCCTCCTTCTTCCGTAGTTCTGTGGTGCTGCAGTGTGACTCCGCCATCTTGAACAAGGTTTGGATGCAGTTTGACATCAGAAATGCCGAAAAACCTGCCTGTTTTTTGAAATTTTCAGTTGGTTGTGGAATTGTTTTCAAGGCAAAGGAATGGATGCATTGGCAGTCCACTATCGTTTTTGCGTGCTTGGGGCCCATCAAGTGGAAGTAGCCACCAAACCTGCGTAAGCCTTGCCTTGTATTTGACAGCCCTTTGCCTAGTTCCAGCTAAACAATGTCAGAGGCAATGGATTTGGGTGAGCATGCTGACAACATCAACGTTATCCATTAATGTGTGCATTTACTGAAAGGCTCCAGGACATTTGGCCGGTAAAATATTAGTATAATTTCACTATAGAGAACTACTTCCGCCCTTGAGTTTATGAGTTTCAACTAATCATTCCCCTTTCCGTAACATGCGCATTGTTGCCAAAGTGGTGACAAGCGAGGGTTTTTATTTTTATCAAGCTATGTGGTAACTTTTCAAATGGGATTTCCCTGCTGAGCGCATTCAATATAAAAAAGAAAGCCATCATGGACGAAGAGCACCACGAATCATATGATACAAACTGTTTTTCTGTTCTGTTGAAAACTGCTATTCCACTTCCGGAACACAGCTATTCACTTTTGGTCAGTATGTCTGGCCATCCGTAACGGATGGTGATATCTGAAGCTAAATTGTGCATAAAATAGGCGCAAGTGAAGCGTTTGACTAATTTAACTACGCATGTAATTAGTCGGGAGATACAATGTTCACAATTGAAAAATTACTTCTCATTTGATAAATTAATCGAACGAAACCAAATTTAAAATTGAATGCACCCATAAGATTTTGATGGTTGAATGGAATAAATGAATCCACACAATTTAGTTATACCTGGTTGTGGAGCTTCCATAACCTTTGCTTTTCTCAATTCCTATTACCTTATGCAGATGCTTTTATTTTAGTTTTTCCACACGGAATTGTGGACACGGATTAGACAATTAGTAAAAGTACCTTTGAAAAGGTAAAACTTGCCCACAGTATTTCAAGAATCCTTAGAGACAGCTGAGTAGAAAGAGTTTATAAACAGTTTGTAGGATAGATGCTTGGCCGCCGTTCGAGATCTTGTTTAACTGCGAGCAAGCACGTTCATTCGACCTCCTTTCGATCTACTCTATTTAAGAGTAAATAACAAATCCTTCCAAAAAGGGCGTGGTGCACGAAAATTTTACAAATCCCGCAAACATTTTAATACTTCTGGAGCTCATGCTTTTCTTATTTTGATTTTTAAGCCCGCCAACAGAATCATTTTCATCTGGGCTTCAGAGTGTGGATCATTTTACTTGAGAAATATGCATGTTTTCCCACAAGACCTTAAGGGTTCAAAGAAACATTCATCCTCTTAATCATCTAAATTTCTTGTGAAATCGGTTAGAGTAAAAAACGCCAATAGTGCAACGTGATGATGAAACCATGGTGGAAACTATTGTTTCAGTTGTTCCTTTACGTACTTCCTAAATTTTAGGTGGGGTATCGATCAATTATCCACATTAATTAACCGGAGATCAAACTCCATTTTATCTTAATACGAAGATGCCTCTACCCACATCAAATGCGTAATGAAAGCAAGACAACCTACTATAATTCACTTGGTGTGGTTTATTCAGTGTTGGAGAGAAATGGACGTAAAAAAATTCCTGGAAGCCTTGTTCACACAGCATGCCCATTGAGGGTACTCGACAAATGGAATAGCGATATATGCAATACATGGCATGCCGAACTTTTAGTATGTTTTGTTGTATAATCATGGATTTTACGGGAGGTGCGAGGTTAGTTTTGACAGTAAAACCACGTCGATGGCCACCTCAGAATTAAGTAACAAGGAAGTAGGTAATGCGACCATAGTGTCTAAGTGATGCAACTGCGCCCGGTAAACATGTTTAGAAATTTTCATACTAAAAGGCGCCTACAAAAAACGAAGACGCCGTCATTTATTTTCCTGAAGTAGCCTTGCTTATTCATTTTTTGTGACCCAAAATCGCAACACAGGTGAACAAAATGTTAGTCAGAAGTTCTTGCTGCATAACGACACCAAAATGAAAAAGTGATTCCTAAATTCAGTGCGCTAGGATGTGTCGAAAAGGCCTGTTCTTGGCGATTTCTCACACAAACGAGACTCCTGTATGGTTCTATTAACCGTTTTACAAGAATCGGACCCGACTGTTCAAAGCGTGTGTCAGCTGTTATGTGCTCGCTGAACTCCTGCGTAAAGAGAGGTTTATCGCACCCTGCCTGTTTTTTTCCGTCTTTAAAAAAAGATTTGTCTCGTTTGATCAGCCCCACCAGCGTAAGATACAAAAGAAAACAGCGATGCTCGCAAGAGACGAATATGTCATCTGTTCAGCCTTCAAAAACGGCTACCTCCCCACATCCAACATATGGTTCGAATATCAGTTCTCAAGTGTAGGCCACTATGTGTGATATGCGGAAGGCAACTTCCACAAAGTAAGGAGCCAAAAAGCCCCTTCACTGGCGTTTTGTCGATTAACATAAAAGCCTAGTCAGAAGCACGGATCGATTTATTCATGTTTTTAGAAAAGGCCCTCAGCCGTTTGAGGGATGTCAACATGTTTAGGGTTTAAACATTTTTATCCACAACAGGCAGTCAGATATTTTTACGAACAATTCAAAGTAATTTACCAACTTTCGTATATTTACCTGGTTGATTTTCATCAGATATTGACATCATGCAGAAAACTTGAACGCAGGATAAGTTGAAGGGGACAACTTTTCGTAACATGTGGTTTTATCCAAACTTTCCACAGCACACGGAATTAAAAAGTAAAATTCTAAAAGCATCATAGAACGTCTGAAATTCAATTTAATGATGCCACTTATTTGGTTTGTTTCTTAAAGCCTGTGAAACTTTTGATCGAGTATTCCAGGAACATGCATACAATCAATTCTAGTAGGTCACTCCTGGAAATCCTTTAAGCCATACACGCTCAGTTAAAATTTTAGGATGAATAAATGAAAGTCCACTAATGATATTCGAAAGTATATACAGTGTTCAATTTTTCGACAGCACTCCTATTATTGCAAAATGAAAAACTACCCCTCTTACACATGCTAAATCCCAGCCACTCTAACCTCCATACCACTTCCGAGTGTGAATCAGGTGACAGATTATCTTTTCTTGGTACGCATGCTTATAAACTTACAGACAGACTATCGCAAGGAGCAAGGCCAACATTCACATTACATTATTTCCAGCCCATCATTTTATTAGCGCGGGTTTTAAAAATTCCATCCTATGGAATAGCCATAAAAGGGCTTTTTAAAGAAAAATCTGCTCAAGAATGTTTCTCCGGAGCACTTGCAGACAAAATGAAAACAGTCATCTTTCATCAAGCCAGCAGGATGGGCATGAACTAGTTTCTCTGATTTGAAGCGGACTGTTCCAGCACAGACGAGGTACAATCTCTCATTCACTTTAGAACGTGTTTATACGCAGCTTGGTCTCACACGGACCGCCGCACAAACGTGCAGAGGCTGTCTAAACCATCAGTTTGTCATGAAACCTAATAGTTCTGCATTTGCGGAGTGACCTACTTTGGCAGTACAGACAGATACTCAGCGAAACATGCAGCGGAACATGTTACAAATCATGTAATTCAGATGATGTCTGGAAAGCCGTCCGGTTAGAGGTCAAGCCAAAAAGGCCTGCATCACCAAAAAGCAGACCCTTGTTAATTTCAAGCCATAAGATGCTCTCTGTTAACTCCTTCAGAATCATCATGTGCAACGAAAATACCAAATTGTCAATGATGAGCATAGCTTTGCTGAGCAAGTCAAAACATCCTACAATGAGTGCACAGAGCAGTCAAATCAAGCGATACGGTTACTCTGGTAATGTTTAGGCAACTTGCGGAAATCAAAAAACCACGGTCGGTTAAGCATTATTTCTACTGTTTATTTCTATAAACTCAACGTTCTACTTCTGCGAGTGAATGGCGTAAGAGAAGTGTTGACACAACTTAGCCCAAGTTTTATTGAGATCGGTGAAAATGTCTGAAAAATGGGAAAGTTATTTTTCCAATCAACTCATCCAAAAGTAGATACGCTCTGTTGGCTTCTGGATGTGACATATGTGAGTCCAGTTAGGTAGGTCGCATAGCACAAAACTCATTGGACCATAAAAATACTTTACTGATAGGGATTATGGCAAAATTCGAATGAATTATTGGAAGTCAGTTTGGATCAGTGCTTTTCATCTAACCGGAATGTCAACAACTTAGTGATGAATGTGTTTCATGGAGTATGTACGAGGCTCATTTCTAGCAACTAGAACCAAGAAACTGCTTGACAGTATATACTAGTATAACAAAGATATTATCTTCATATACTGGTTGATGCAACACACACTTCAAGGAGTGAAAACGTTTCTTAGCTTCTTTGGAAAGCTTCCGGCTCGGAAACTCGTTTTTATTGCCGCGATTAACTCATACTTCCTCCCTTACCTAAAGCTTTGAATTTCGCCTCGCAGAAATTATTCCGTACGGAACAATGTATCTGGACAATCTATATCCAGAACCCTTTTGGGCTGGCTCGGCTTTTTTGAATGAAGTTGCCATGGACCTAACCTTTTTAGTTCATGCACTCCCTTGGCAGCATTCCTGAAATATAATCATCTTCCACTGAGGACAACCTGATTTGCCATTTATAACTATCAAGCCTAAATGTTAGAATCTCAGTAAAGTAAGCTCAGTGTTCGGACATGTCGCAATCCTGATGTGCCGGTGGCAAGGAAATGCCTTGCAAGGCGTGAAATTCGAGGGCTGATTCCGATTCGTGAAATGTGATGCTCCAAGGATGTAAGACCTACCTTAAACTGTAAAAGATATGATTCCTCGAAGTGGATGAAACAAGGCTTCCGTAAGGGATTATAGTAACATCTGCTGCAGTCAGTAGCTGCATTATAGCACGTGGGATCCACGTTCTAGAAAAGATCGCAACCGGCCTCTAAACAAGTTAAGACTGGTGTAGGGGGTGTCTGGAGAAAACATTGTTGCATTTTGACCGGGCAGTTTGACATGCTACTCGTAAATCCATAATTAATTTGCAAATAAAAACATGGAAATGAAAAGAAAGTAATTGAAGTTTGCTTATTAATGCGGTACTTGATTTATCTTTGACACTTATCTGTCCGTATTTTATTATAAGTCCACCGAGGTTTCGACTGTTCCCAGGGCATGCGCTGATGAAATTCCTGTAATAAACGTAAGGTTGTCTCCCGCTTATTTGCTGAAAAGAGTACGCACAGATTCTGAGTTCAATCCAGCTTAGCTCGTAATATCATTGTGGACAAAAAGCTGGAACGGTACGAAAAATTGGCACGCTCAGTTCTGGAGTCGTCTAATAATGTGATTATTTTCCACGCCTTCCCCCGACGGAGACGTTCACGTCAAAGTAGATGCCACATAATGTTTTATCTTAGTAGAATTGGGTCGGTCCATTTAGGAAATTCATTTTAACTGTGGAATTTGGGGAAATTTTCTGTTTGCTGTAAAGCCTAAGTCAGAATCAGCAATGATAAGATGCAGAAAATCGAAGTTGTAATCCTAATGAAGCGAATCTGAGAGGGATGAATGCAATCGCCACCTTTACGTTGGCAGCTAATGAGG